CCCAAGGAAAGAAGAGTGAGGGGTGAGGAAAGGGAAATAAGTTGGTCATTTCTTTGTGTTGGGAATTTTTTTTTTTCAGTGCTGAGGAGGACTGAATCAAGGGCTTTTGCACTGAGCTACATTGTGGGCCCTTTTTTATTATTATTTTTTTTTTTTTGGGACAAAATCTCACCAACTTTCCCAGAATAAGCTGGAACTTGCTATCCTACTGTATCAACCTCCTACAGTGCTAGAATTATAGGCATGCACCACCATGCCTGCCTAAGGTTGAGAACTTCTAAATTCCTGTCTTCTAGTGCGGAACAAAATGCATAGTAAATTATTGTAAACTGTGGCCACCCTAATGGGCTGTGTAATTATATTTTGGGCCTCACTACCTGACATCCCTCTATCACAGGCTATCCTTTTTAAAGCACAAATTGTGTCCCATCACTTCTTTCTCCACAACTTTCCAGTGGTTTCCTATCATTCTAAAAATAAAACCTAAACTTCTGTGGTCTTACACGTCTTACCTGACCTGGACCCAGTCTGCCTCCCTTCTGTCCTCCCTTCCTATGACTTCCCTCTTTGCTCATAACACTTTTCTCACACAAACCATTGTGTTTCCATTCTGGCTGAAAGCCTCTGTGCTTGCTATGTGTCTGATATGCTTGGGCCACTTCTGCTCTCTCAGGTTTTCCTCCTCAACCTTCAGGTCTCAGGTTAGGTATCACTCTTCAGAGAGACTTTGACCATCCACCAACCTGAAGTAATTGCCTCCTGGCCCCACTTTCTAACACATTGCCTTGTTTTATTTTATTTTTTTTATAATACTTAGAGCTTCTTCCTTTTCCTACAATCTCCATGCCCTATCTCCCTCATTTCTTCTGACAAAGGAACTCTCATCTTCTTCCCTTTCCCTGTCCCTGTGACCACACTTGGTTGGCCCAGAATAGGTTTGACCCACCTGGATCATGATCTTCCTATAATTTTCAGAGCTGGAAGTGAGAAACAGTTTCTAATGCCAGATACTGTATAATATAAACTTCAACAACTGCTAGTTGTTGTACTTCTAGAAATGAGTCTACAAGAGCCAGTGATGCTTACATGATGATTGGGAGAAAAGTGATCTTTGAAAGTACAGTGTGTTTTTTTTGTTTGCATTTTGGATTTCTAAGATCAAAATTATGCTCTGGATGTTCATGGAATTCATGGAATTTATTCATAAACTTTCATTAATGCTTTCCTTGAAAAATTAAAAGGCTACATGGGCCCAATTAATTTTTCACTTTAAAAGTAAAAGGCTGGAGTTAATCTAACTTGCCCTTTCTGTATCTAGCGTGGTGCTCACATGCAGATGCTTCATATGTGTTTTTGGACAATAAAGGTGATGAGCATGCCAACTGCTGAGTGGAAGTTTACATACCTTCCACTGAGAGTATGCTTTACTATGGAGTGGGAAAATGGAAGTCAAAATTATAGAGTGGAAGTGATTACCTATAAGATCTACTTGGGCTTTTGCATTAATAGATCATGAAGCTCTAAGTCCTGTTGCAAGAAGCACACATTTACAAGCAAGGTGCTAAATGATTTAAATGACTGTACCCTTTTATTAGTAAGGTCCATTTTAACCTTTAAAGAAATCAATCCAATGGGACACATTCTAATTAAATGTAACTATATAAATATGTGATTGGCACTATAGGAGATAAAGAAATTATTAAGGCACAGACTCAGTCATTACATTTATTAAAGGACAGATTTTTAAAAAGTGTATAGGGTGGCCTTGTGGCTTAGCTCAGTTGTTTAAAGTGCCTGCTTGGACAAACTCAGGTGCAGGCGACCATGGTTTGATCCCCAGCTCCACATGCCACACCAGGCCCTCCATTAAGGCAGCCTGAGCCAGTCCCCCCCAAAAAGAAAAAAATCCTTCTAAACAGTGTATAAAATGAATAATTAAATTATAAGGGAGCTGTGAGGATTCTAAGTTACAAATAAAGTGCAGTGGTGCCAGTGCAGGGGTGGAGGTTCATACTCAACAAAAGTCACACTCAGCTGCAAGAATCAGGTAAAATTTCATGACCAAGTAAGGCATCTGAGTTGTATCTTGGAGGATGGAAAGGGCTGCAAAGGTCAGAGATAGCATGAGGAAGACTCTCAGCCTGAAGAATAGTGCAAAGGTGAATTAGACATGAGGTTGGAAGGCCTGAAGAAGGAGGTCTGGTCCTGAAACAACTGAATGACTGCTAGCATCAACAGTCACAGAAATTGGCAAGTTCAGAGGACAGGGTGGTATGCTCACCGTCAGAAATTTTGTTTGAAATAGCATAGAATATCCACTTAGTGATACAGGAGGCAATTAAAATGAGAGGCTGATTTTTGGTAGGCATGTGAACGCTGGAGATAATAAATTAGGATGCACATAAGATCACATTTTATGTACCTACGAGCGTTTTTAGGACATTGTTAGGAACATGGACCCGTTCCAGTCACAGGCTCTACAATATGGTGAGAAAACATCAAGGGAAAAAAGAAAAAAGACATATTCCCTGGAGTTGAAGATCAAGTTGAAATAAGAACTGTATGTCCGTAATATGTTTAACTGACTTAAATCACAAGTCCCAACCTCCATCCTTCCACCTATAGGAAGTCCATTCTAAACACAGATTTCACTCCATTTTTTACAGTAATATGTGTCACGAGCCCTCCCTGGTTCACTGTATTAGTTCTGCGGCCAGTTATCTTGCATTGTGAAGTTTCTGGCTGCTGATTCCCTCTCTCCTCCATGCGCAGACACAGACTGCACTGCTGAGACTAACTTGAAAGGCTGAGGATCACAGCGGGGAAATGTTATGTGGAAAAGAAGCAAAACTGGATACAGTGTTAGGTGTTATTGCTCATAATCCATTGACTGTCCCAGAGGGGGCTGTAGTGGTTCTCTCTTTCTAACTTCCTGTCCAGAAACGAAATCATAGGCACAGTTAGCACCACAATATCATCATATTGAGTGATGTGTAAATTCCTAACTCTTACCTAGCTTGAGAGAGAAAACTAGCCCTTTCTGCAGGAGAAAAGCAGAACTTTCTCTTAGTTCAGTGCGAGGTTCCTGTCTTGACCCAAGAAGATGCATAATCAGGAGGTTTAATTCCCTTATAGAATTCTTATCTTCATCCAGAATTCGTATATTTAATCACTGAGCAATAGTATATTAGGTACAAAGAACTTACTTTAAATCAGTGGTGAAGTCACTAATTTACTCCAAGAAAACTTATATAAGAGAAGACACTTCTGTGAATTGTTCTCCACAAAACTTTATCATCAGAATTAGCAAAATGTCTGCATGGATAGTTTTTGACACAAAATTTTTATTCTCTCATTAAGTTAAAAATGTTTACTGTGCACCACAATCAAGGTATGACACTAGGTGTTAGGAAAGATGTAACTATGGTTCCTTATTTATAATCTAGCACGGGAAAGAAAATAAAAGGCAAAACAAGGGCTAATACCACAGAGAAAGGTGGGAAAAATGTGTTATGAAAATTGTAAAGTATGAAAGTACATATTTGTCATTAAGTTAGAGAGCTTTAATTAAAATGCTAACAAATGAAAATGAAAAATTAAAACCAGACATGCCAATAGGAGGAGCAATGCAAAATGAAGGAATATTATCAAAATATTGGGATTCCTCTAGCAGACCTCGTGCACATCTTAAAATGATTAATAAACTAGTTTCCATAGATTTAGATCCATGACTGTAATAACCAGTGAAAATTGTTATAAGTGCAGAATGCTGACCTCATCACGGACTCACTTTTACTGATGTTTGCAGTGTGTGTCAGTATCTTGAAGCCATTGTGCAACCCTTACTTGGGATTGCTTGGAACGCCAGGAGTACCGCAACAGATTGTGAGCTGTTTACAAATAACATATAGGCTTTTACAAACAGCCTATAGTGTGATAGTCCCCTATGACATCTGGAGTTCGTACGTGTACAAAATGTGATTCTAATAAGAACTAATCTCCCTGATATTTGGATTTCTTTGGCTAACTTTATGCTCCAAATCAGACTTTAGCAGCGCTGTGTGTGTGTGTGTGTGTGTGTGTGTGTGTGCGTGCGTGCGTGTGCGTGCGCGTGTGTTGTATGTGTTGGGAATGCTAAGTGACTGAAACGTCGTTCAACTTGGACTACCAATCCCATGATACAACGCTCCCTAGTCCCACCGCGTGGGGCGGAGTCGTAGAAGGGGCGGAGGCAGCGGCGGCCATTGCATTCTGGGCATTGTAGTCTGGGCTCCAGCCGCCGAGGGGGCCGGTCCACGTGGTGCGTTTGGCGGCAGCTTCGGGCAGTGGCTCCCTCGCTCCCTGCACGCAGTTCCTGGGGTGCGGGCGCCAGCAGGGGTAGCCAGCCTCGGAGGGCACCGGCCGGAGGAAGGGCAGGAGGCAACCAGAGGCTTCGCGACGTTTTTGCGACAGCCGCGGCCGTGTTCCGCGAGTGCCCTCCCTCCTCCTCTCTCTGAGGAGGTACCGGCTGTTGTGCGGCGCTGCCTTTCTGTTTGAGTGTATGGGAGAGTGAGTGAGTGAGAGAGAGAGTGAGTGAGTGAGTGCGGGCGAGTGAGCGTGTGAGCGAGGGCGAGGCGTGAGTGCGCCAGTGAGAGGAGGAGAGCCCGCCGTGGCTGCCTCGCCGCTCCCACCGCAGCGGGAGCGGGGCGCGCGGCCGGAGAGTGCTGGGAGCCGGCGCCCTGGGAGCCCGCGGGGAGAAGGCAGATCCGCCCGCTCCCCAGCCTAGCCCTCGCCGGTCCGCTCTCCTTCGCCGCGGGGAGCGTGCGCGTCCCCCCCGGCCGGCCTCTGCCCCGCCGCTCCCCTGGATGTCCCCGGCGCTCTCGCGGGGCCTCCTCCTGCTCTCGCCGCAACAGTCGGGCTGCCGCTGCGGCCGGCGGGTGTAGAGCGGGCGGGCTCCCGGGGGCTGCGGCTGCCGGTGCTTCCCTGGACCCCACCCCGGCCGCCCGGCCCCCAGACCCAGCTCCCCGGCCTCGGGGGCTGTGACAATGGACTATGACTTTAAAGTGAAGCTAAGCAGCGAGCGGGAGCGGGTCGAGGACCTGTTTGAATACGAGGGCTGCAAAGTTGGCCGCGGCACTTACGGTCACGTCTACAAAGCCAAGAGGAAAGATGGGTGAGTGTGTGTGTCTGCGGGTGGCAGCCCTGGGCGGCCCTCCCGCCGAGGCAGGTAGCCGCAGGGAGAGGGCCGCCGAGGTGCCGGGCTCCCACTTCCTCGGCGCTCGCCTCGTCCCCGCCGGCCAGGTTTGGGGAGGAAGTGGGATCCAAGCCCCCAAGAAATCCTGCGTGCTGCGTCTGGGTTCTACAGTGTTGGCAAGAATTTGGAAGAGGACTCCCAACCTCGCGGGCTGTGTACTTTTCGAGGATTTTAACACTGGACTTTTAAAAATTGGTTAAAAGAAACGCCAGTTTAAATGATTTTTGTCCACCCATGTGGTCTATTTATTATGGTAACCTTTGGGGAATTTCCTCACCTGCCTCTGGAGTGACATCCGTCAGTTTGGGGGGGAAGCTGTTATCCTTTCCGCCCACAGTTTGTGATCGATTTATTATCAGATTTGGATTTTATTTGGTGGAAAAAAAGGCAGCAAGTGAATGTGGTCCTGGAGAGAGTACCTCATAGTGGTCATCTGCAACAGGAACGTAGCGGTTGCTATTTAAATATCATTAGCCGTGAGTTTTTACGTAGAACAATGGGTGTTTGATGCAAGGTGGGTGGTGGGGAAAAAAGACAAGTGACAAATAGGGGCTTTTTCAGGCCGTCTCCCCAAAATTTAGCAGCTGGCAATATCTTTCCTTTAAATATTCACCCCTAGAAATAACTTAATTAAACGTATAACTAGTAATGCTCCCATTTTAGTTTCTTAACAGACAAGTGAAGTATTCATTTTTCCTTTGTCAGTAGTTGAATATTTTGTAATATTGACAAAATGGAACGTAATTCTTAGGGAGAAAATGTATCTTATTAACTCCTTGTTTTCTTCTTGTAAAAATGGTTTTTATCCCTGCTGCCTTTTAGAAAATTATTCGAAAGATATTATAGTTTTATTATGTAATCTTTGGATTTTATTAGAAACAAAGTGGCTTTCCTTCAACATCACTGTTTGGTTAGCAAGTATTTGATGTGCAAAATAATTACTTTTAAAAAAAACTAGGGAACACCAAAAATGAACCCATTCATAAAGGAAGCAAGCAATATTTATAAATAAGTGTTTTGGATGTTGGAAAATGAAGTGTGTGTTTATTTAGTCAGCATTTTTCTTAGATTTGCCGAAATAGTTTTAAAAAATAATTTAAAATGGATTCTAAGAGAAAGTAGCTCTAATTAAGTTGGATGTATTTCAGTGCTTTTATGCAACAATAAAGCAGTGCAGACATGGGCAAAAAGGGTAGGGATTTGAAAACTTGATACTGTGGGTTCTGTTTATATTTAAAAGTACTTTTTAGCGATAATTGGCTGACATTTGAGAAATCAGCGTCTGGAGATACTGACTGTTGTCTAACTAGATTTCTCATTTCAGTTTTACTCTCTAATGATTGTATTTAAAACTTGTCCATGTTCACTTACTATATATGGTAATATCTTTCAAAAGATTTAAACCATCTCCCCATTTAATTTAAAGAATATTCATAAAACCCCTAGTCCTGTGAGATTAGACACAGTAGTACAGTTGACCAATCTGTCATGTGTTTTATAAAATTCTAGTGACATTAAATTTTAGTTAATCCCTATGAAAGAAGCCAGTTCTGATTTATACATTATCATTTAGGCTAATTAAAATAAGCAAATGTTTTAAATTTGATTTTTGATTTATACTTAAAATGTATGTACTGTGTATTGGCAGGAGGTATTTTTAAATACATTTTATATTTTAATGGGCAGGTTTTAATTTAGAAGAAAGAATAATTTGAAAGGAATTACACAATTTAAGAATAGCTGATGTATAGTGTATATTTGTTAGTCACTTATGATGGCTGCAAATTAACATTGCATTTGGAGAAAAAGAGTCTTTTGTGATCTTTTGGGTATTTTTTTTTCCATTAGCCTTTAATGATTCTGTTTATATGAAGAACTTATTTTGTTTGTAGTGGCTCAATTATCAGGAGAGTTTTATTTTACTTTAATGTTATTTTTTGGAACTGGGAATTAAACTCAGAACTTCATACTTGCCAGGCAGGTGCTATGCAGCTGAGCTATACCCCCTGGGCCTCAGAAGAATTTTAAAATTACTTAAAACAGTTTTTGTTTTCCAGAGGGAATATATATATTGGTTTGGCTTTTTTATATCCTCTGGTAAAATACTATACACACACACACACACACACACACACACACACATACGCACACACACATATATATATGTAATATTGCATTATATTCATGAGGTTCTTTTGATTATGTCAGTAAAATGTAATTTAATGTAATTTAGTCCTGATAAAATAAAATTTGTGGCTGTTTAGTCTTTCATAATAAGATGATCAAATAATTTACTTCTAGTATTGATTTACTTTCAAATTAAATCATATATTCTACAGCTGAAATTTTATAGTAGTCTAGGAACTACAAACAGTAATGAGTTTAGAAAGAATCCTGAGATTACAATAAAGTTAAATAATGTCAATAAGCTTTAGATATATTTGACTATCAAACAAATGTAAATGTTGTATCCTTTCAGTAGTCCAGTGAGCATAGAACATGGATGATTAGTAAAAGAATTTAGAGAAATTAGCTTCTTAAATTATTAAGTTTTAAGAAATAAAATAGCTTGACAGATCATTTCTTTGACTTAATGAATTAATAATCCTGCCCTGCTAGTATACCACACTTAGGATAAATCAGCATCTTAAAGAACATATGGAAGGAAGAAATTATTTGAGGCATGATTACAAATGAGAGAAAAGAGCCATTTATAGTTGCGTTAATTTCAAATTTTAATAAGGTTAAGATAAATGTGTAATACATGTCAGAGTTAATTTGTTCTCACTGTCACCACAAATGAAGCAGTGTCCTTTGTGCCTGAATGCCAAAAGAGTACTTCCTAGGCGGCAGGGGGTTCATTATTTAAGTCAATTATCAAATTTAGGTAATCAGACTTTGTTAAAAAGAATGGAAACTTGTAAGAAGACATTTGTTTTTAACCCTCAGACTTGTCAGTATAGGCACCAGACATTGGTAGAGTTTTAAAAAAATCAACAAGAAAGAGAATTTTATCTTCAAGACAGAAAAACAAAAGATTATTTTTTGTAATCTTATGTTCAAAAGGCTAAATGTTATATAATTAGGGGTATATGTGTGTGTGTGTGTGTGTGAACAGAGGGTAATGAAAAGCATGTTAGTATGGTGAAAATGCTAACTAGTTGAAAGTGCTTTAAGTTAGGAATCCTGGAGACTTGAGTTTGAGTTCGTGGTCTGCGTCTCATTAGCAGTATGACCTTGGGCAAATCATTTGCTTTTTGCAAAACTAAGGAAAGGAGGTTTTAATAGATATTTTTAGGATCTTTTCTAATTTTATGATTTGGGAATTAAAAATTACAAACATAAAATGTAATACGTTTGCAAGATTTGCAAACAAATATTAAAACAATGATTTTACTCTGGATAATGCTACACTTATATATTTTTTACTCTTATGAGATCATAATGGTTCTCATCAATTGCCAAAAAGAAGCTAGGTAATTTCCAAATACCCACCAGCTACTTTACATGTCTTAATGCTTCCTTAACTTTGGGCTAGTACCTGCTGTCATTCCTGTGAACCCTTTGTTTGGTGGCCAGCACAAGGGACTCTTCTGATTCAGCCTGCATTGGCGCTTTGTTTTAATTCTTTAAATATGATCAGAACTTGGTTAGAATTCTTATTTTCCACAGAGGAATCAGCTAAAAACTAGTCAGCATCCTATCATCCTTTCTCAATCCTGCATTTTTATGTGAATATTTCTTAGGTGTCATAAATGCCAAAGACAAAGTGTACTTTTTGTAACTTGAATATTTGTATGTGCAATAAGGAGTTAACCTTGCAGTCTTCTAATATGTGACAGAGAGGGACAAACAATACTACTGTGCCCCCCTCCCCAAGAACCAGGGATTAAACTCAGAACCTTCTCACTATATTATGTACATCTCCAGTAACCCCACCCCCCAACACACACACACGTTTTTTAACCATGAGACAGAATCACACTAAGCTGCAAAATTGCCTACCCTGCGCTTGAATTTACAATCCTCCTGCCTTGGCTTCCCAGAATGCTGAGATTACAGGTGTGTGCCACCATTTCTGGTATTGTGTATTTCTTACTTGCTTGCATTTGGGTTTATCTTCTTTAACTATTCAGAATATTGAAACCCACTACTTAGACTATTTTGAGTTCAGCTTAGATCCCTTTTTTTTAGTAGCAAGACTGACAAATTCATTTCGGATTTGCCAGTGACTTACTACTTTTCTTACTACGTTATCTTCTAACGTTTGAAGAAGTTCATTCATTAATCCATTCAGCAGCTATATGTTGGATTCTTCTAGTGCCCACTGTTGTTGTTCAAGGTACTGGGAAAGTAAGGATGAATAAAACATTCCATTACTTGAGGAAATATCTACTAGGGAAACAAACTTGTAAGGGAAACTACAACAGTTGAATAAGCACTGTAATTAATGTCCTTACAATGAAGAAAGGAAGCCCCCAACTGCTTAGGATTTTTAGGAAAAACTCTCAAAGATGTTGAAATTGACTTGGACTTTAGAATATGGGAAGATCTCATCAGACAAGGCATTCCAAGAGGAATAGGATGAAGAGGAATGCTTTTCATTGTCTTTCCTGATGAAGCTGGGTCTATATGGATCTGATTTTTCTCCTCGTGACTTTCCTCTCTCCTGTTAAGTATTTTTTTTAGCTTTTGCTGTACTTGTAGTGATATATGTATACACTATACATATTTCATTGCACCAAATTATACTACTTTAGGCATTATTTCTCTGGACAAATGAGTTTAGAATTCTGATTTAGAAACCCTGAAATGTAATGATGTATTTGTTTGTTGGGAACTGTTTTCAAAGTTAGGGTTGATACATATGTTTTATTCGCTATGGTTGATATCATCTTTCTTATAGTGTATTTTACTAT